ATTAAGATTAATGCGATTCGTCCAAATGACAAGAGAGAAAAAAGAGAGAATGAGAGAGAGAAAGTTTCCGTGAAGTTTGTAGATATTTTGAAGTATTTGTATGATGTTGTGTGTGCGCGAAACAATTTTACTTGTCATTAAATAAGCGTCTGTTGTTAATGAAGATGAATGCAATATACATTCCATTGTACATTTTTGCAAGATACATAGTTATCAAAATATATTTATATCCGCCGCAAATATCGGATATTTTATCATTGTTACCCTGTCGCTCTAAAAAGATTGGAGGTATTGACTGCGTTCTCAGTTATTTATACGCTGCGACTTCCACGTTACCGCGAGTGGTCATCAATATTGTCACCATTACCATTCTTATTATCATTATAACATGTAGTTACATTCAATAAACATATTTTCTATTACTCAAATACAGATTTATATACCTATATTGTTATCCCTTTCCAATTAATATCTGTAATAAAGTTGTCATAAGTATATAAAGTTGTTATTCAAATACAGATTTATATACCTATATTGTTATCCCTTTCCAATTAATATCTGTAGTGAAGTTTTATACTGAGCCATAAAACGGTTTGGATACATTTCGAGCACATCATGAATATGTTCGCGAAGCTCACTATCGCGCTACCGACACAAACCCAACCAAGGACTTTTCATGAAGTCAGTAGCGATAGCGAATAGCACGATAGCGATAGTGGGTGCTTCCAAAATATCCAGGTTTGGATCAAGTTGAGTTAGTTCCACTATAGTATCCGTTACATATACTATAGTGGAACTAACTCAACCCAACTCTGGGTATTTCGGAAGCACCCAATGAGTTCCATAATCATCAGCTAATACTAATACATTACCTCAAAAAGAATAGGGTTGATAGCGCTTGTTGATAGTAGTTAAGAACATAGAACGTTAGTGGCGTCATGATAACGTTTGATAGCGTTGTCGCCTAGCTTCGCAAACAATTTTTTGTAGCAAGTTTGTTTAGTTTTGAACAGTTTGTTTACGTAGTACTATATAGCGTCTTCGCGAACACACCCTATTACGGCTTGTGGGCACGCGCTACTGATTTCGAAATTCCGAGTCTATGATAATTTTATATTAAATTAATTTCTCTCTTCGTGCATGTATTATGTCGATGACTGAACGCAGGCTCTGGTGTGAACAATTTTATTTTATACAAATGACTACTAATTCAAATATCTTAAAAAACAAACCACGATCAATTTTGGTTTTCAAGTCATGCTAGATTTGTAAACGGTTCGACCTTGAAATGATCTTTAAAA